CGAGGCCCTGAGAGCTACTTTCTGATTATTTAGATTCATGCAAACCCTTAGCTGTGGCATGTGGAATCTAGTTCCCTGGCCAGGGATGGAACCTTGGCCCCCTGCATTAAGGGCAAAGAGCTTTAATCACCGGACAGTCAGGGAAGTCCAACGGACGTTTATTTCTAAATATTCAACTGATGCTTTCATGGCACACACAGGTTCTATCAAAATTCAGAAAAAATTTAAAATAAAAAAAAATTAAAATATCAAGATAGAGCATCATCCAGACTTGTAGCAGTCCTGCCAACTGCTTGAAGAAAGTGGTCCAGGAAAAGAGGGACGAGAATCTAAAACTTGATCTTGGAGCAGAAGACTGAATATAACCTCATTCTCTAACTAGGAGTGCGCGTCTGAGTGGAGCCCCATGGAGCTGACCAGTTGTATTCTAGGCAGAACTAAGGTCTCCTTTGTATTCTGTGTGTGAGGTTTCTGAGGGGTAGGGATGGGGGTGGTGAAGAAGAGGATAAATACCACAACCAGTCTAAGGAAGCAAGAAATGTTGACAGTCTTTTGAGTCTCAAAGTCAGTTTCGCAGACTTCTATGTCTGCGACTGTTTTGAAACCACTGTTTCGACTTCATGTCGAGAAGTGTTTTTTTTTTTTTTTTTTTTAATGCAGGATTCTGGGTCCTATTCCATAGCTCCGGAATCTCAGTCTTTTGAGGCCGGGGGCTTGGAACTTGCATTTGGGCAAACATCTCTATCTCTACTGCATGCTAAGCTTGCAGATCACAGACTCAACTACGGTAGTGCCGGTGGGACTCATGAGGCAGGGAGAACCCAGAGCTTCCGACAGGACTGGTCCAGCATCTGTCAAACACTCTTCTAACCACCAGCCCCACTGCAAGTTGCATCCGCTCAAACTCCACACACCATCACTCTCCATCCCCGGGGCATCCTAGCTCCCCACGCCCCTTCCTCAGCTCTACAGCTGGTGGATTTGACACTAGGCGCTATCCTCTGCGCCGGGGCCCCACGTGCACGCCCTCGTGTGCTCTGCCCCGGAAGTGCTCGCGCAAGGCTGGAAGTGCGCAGAAGTAGGGGAGCCCCAGAGGGATCCCTGGGGTAGGGATGCCCCCTTTTGTGGAGTAGGAAATGAGTGGCTTTGAGTCGGAAGGCAGAGAAATGGAAGGGGGAGAACAGGACGGAGCAGGAGAAACAGGGAAAGAGTGGCCAAGCGCGGGCGGAGGACGGAGAAGGGGGCGGCGCGGGCCAGAACCTCGAGGTATGTGCGGGAAGGGGCTCTTCCTTGGGTGGGGAGGGAACCCAGCGCGCGATGCTTGCGAGAGAGGGGGAGATCTGGAACCCAGGAAGTAGCGGGAACATCAGAGAGGGGACTTAGCGGAGGGTAGGACTGTGAGTTCTTACGAGGGGACGTTTTAAGTGGTGGAGGGAGAGGCTGCTGGGAGCGGTAGTTGGGAGGGTGGCTGGAAGGAAGAGACTGTCTGTAGAGTGATCCAGCTTCTTTTGTGGGTTGAGTGAGAGACCGGAGAAGAGTGGGGTGGAGTCGGGTCCTGAGGAGCGAAGTACTTAAGGATTGGGGGAAATAGGGAACGATTTGGAAGATGAGGGTGGTAAAGGAATAACGTTTCACGGGTAAACTTTGGGAAGAGGGAACAGTTTGGAAAGACTGTTTCGGGACTGGTAGGGGGTGGAGGAAGGCAGTTTAAAGAGTAGTTTCCTTGGAAGATAGGAGAAAGGGTTAAACAGCTTAGTGAGATGTCTGAGAGAAAGTGTGTATGGGGTGGGGGGGGGTGTAATTTGGAGGAGGGATGGGGAAGAAAGGAGAAGTCGACAGATGTGTCCTAGAAAGTGGGCGGGGCTGGAAATAGGAAGTGTTTGTAGCTCAAATTCAAGCCAGAGGAGCAGGGGCTCAGGGGAGAGAGTGGAAAAAGATGGGGGCTGGTGGGAGGGAAACCAGTATAGAGGCAGACCTCAAGCAGAGCTATAAAAGAAGGGGCTTTGGTGCTCAGGGCAGTAAGAGGAGGAAGGGTAGGTGAGGCCTCAGAGTAGCAGAAGATGGAGAAAACTGGTGTAACTCAGAACGACTGAAGCCATTTTTTCTACCCCTTGTCTGCAAATACCAGTAATTGATTCCGTCCATCATGGGAATTTTAAGATGTGGTGGCCAAAAAGTTCATTTGGTTTTTTCTGCAAGATTGATTTAGTAGTGCTTAGTTGTCTTTAACTTCATTGGAAACAATTTTGTTAGATTGTATCGCGATAGCTGTCATATTAGCATGCATTAAAAAACAAACTTACCAAAATTGGTGAATTTTTGTGTAGCCATTTTAATACTGAAGATGGAAGAAAAAAAGCAACATTTTCCACATATTATGCTTTATTATTTCAAGAAAGGAAAAAATGCAACTGAAACACAAAAGAAGATTTGTACAGTGTATGGAGAAGGTGCTGTGACTGATCGAACGTGTCAAAAGTGGTTTGCGAAGTTTCGTGCTGGAGATTTCTCACTGGACCATGCCCCGCGGTTGGGTAGACCAGTTGAAGTTGACAGCAGTCAAATCCAGACATTAATTGAGAATAATCAACGTTATACCACAAGGGAGATAGCCGACATACTCAAAGTGTCTAAATCAAGTGTTGAAAACCATCTGCACCAGCTCGGTTATGTTAATCGCTTTGGTGTTTGGGTCCCACGTACCTTAAGTGAAAAAAACCTTCTTGACCGTATTTCTGCGTGTGATTCTCTACTTAAACGTAATGAAAACGTTCCCTTTTTAAAACAAATTGTGACAGGTGATGAAAAGTGGATACTGTACAATAATGTGGAACAGAAGGGATTGTGGGGTGAGCAAAATGAACTACCACCAACCACACCAAAGGCCGGCCTTCATCCAAAGAAGGTGATGTTGTGTATATGGTGGGATTGGAAGGGAGTCCTCTATTATGAGCTCCTTCCGGAAGACCAAACGATTAATTCCAACAAGTACTGCTCCCAGTTAGACCAATTGAAAGCAGCGCTCGATGAAAAGCGTCCGGAATTAGTCAACAGAGAGCGCATCATCTTCCATCAGGATAATGCAAGGCCACATGTTTCTTTGATGACCAGGCAAAAACTGTTACAGCTTGGCTGGGAAGTTCTGATTCATCCCCCGTATTCACCAGACATTGCACCTTCGGATTTCCATTTATTTCGTTCTTTACAAAACTCTCTTAATGGAAGAAGTTTCAATTCCCTGGAAGACTGTAAAAGGCACCTGGACCAGTTCTTTGCTCAAAAAGACAAAAAGTTTTGGGAAGATGGGATTATGAAGTTGCCTGAAAAATGGCAGAAGGTAGTAGAACAAAACGGTGAATACGTTCAATAAAGTTCTTGGTGAAAATGGAAAATGTGTCATTTATTTCTACTTTAAAACTGAAGGAACTTTTTGGCTAACTCAATATTACCCACTTTATAGATAGGCAAACTAAGCTCAGAGGAGAGAAGTAATTTGGCCAAGGCCATGTGACTAATCATGGTGGAGTCAGTTGTATCTGACACTCTGAGAATGAAGCCCAAGCTCTTTAGACAAAGAGCCTCCATGACCTCTCTGATACGAGTCCTGCCTGCCTTCCTCGTCATCTGCAACGCAGATTTATTCCTACCCCAGGGCCTTTACACCTGCTCTCTTTTCTCCAAAACATCTCTTCCCTGGGCTAACTCCTTATTACCCTTCAGGTCTCTGTTCAAATAGAAGAATTCCCTGATAACACAATGACCTTTTGTCTCTTTAACTGATTTTAGTTTATGTGTTGTATTTTTTGTTTGTATACTGTCTAATATCTGTTCCCACTACTCCCCCACCCCCTTATGAGGACAGAGGCTTTGCCTGCTTTGTTCCCTGCTCTATGGCTAATACTGGCACATAGTAGGTTCTCCCTAAGTATTTGCTGGATGAATGAATAAATGAATGAATGATTTTTACAGGAAGGTGAAACAGTAAAAAACAATGTAACTTCTCTGGATATCTTGAAATAACAATTCTTGCATGGTGAGCTTACGAAGATTAAAAGAAATAAAAGAAGTCACAAGGTCTAGAGCCACAAGATATATTTGTGAAGAAATGAGAGCTTTGATTCTCCCACCACCCACACGCTAGACCTCAGGGCACTTGCAGATCTCTGCACTCTGAAAGCCCTTTGTCTCCAGAGAAGGAAGAACCCTGGCAAGAGGGGTGAGCAATCCACCAGCACCACTGTTTGGGTAATAACTAGGGCTTTTCTTCCCAGGCTTGTTCTGCTGGTCCCCATGCCCCTTTCTGCAGGCAAAAATCTTCTTTATTTAACCAGGAACTGAAACTCTGGAGACCCTGCAGGACAACCATGAATTGAAAAAAGTGCGTCAGAGAGAGGGGCACTTAATGAGGGAGGCTGGGTTCTTGTGATCTAAGAAATCAAGGAAACGGTTTTCTTCATCTCTCTTCCCTTTCTGGGAGCGGTACAAAGTAGGATGGAGGCTTGAGTAAAGAGAATTGAATTAATCATCTCAGTTCCTCTTAGTTGGTTAATCATCTCAGCCCACTCCTAGTTGGTTTGTGCAAGACTTTTCTCTGGTTTTATTAATTCACTCTTTCGTTCATTTCTTGTCATCCCTCTCCTCCACTCCCGTTACCCTCCTCCCCCATTCCTTTTATAATTTGTATGTAGCTTTGTCAAGTGTGTAGTGTTGTCTTATGTGACTGTGAATTTAATTTTTTAATTAAAAAGGATCTACTATAGGTCACATTGTGTTTCGTACTGTGGTAGCCAGCCTCCAAGATGGTCCCCAGTGAGATCTCCCAGTATTCATATATTTGAGCAGTCCCTGAATAGAGCTGAATAGTTGCTGAATTGCACCGAATAGAGCCGACCCTACTCAACAAATAGGCTATTGGCAAGGATAGCAGTGTGCAGTTTCCAAGGCTAGAGAGTGGACAACATTGCAGTATCCTCTTTGCTGTCCTTGATTACCCACTCTAGGGGAAGCCGGCTGCCATGCTGTGAGGACGCTCAAGCAGCCCTGTGGAGTGGTCTAAGAAGAACTGAGGCCTCCTGCCAACAGTTCCAACTCGCCAGCCATGTAAGTGAGCCCTCTTGAGTTATTCTCCCACTCCAGTCAAACCTTCAGATGACTACAGCCCCAGCGACATCTTAACTGCAATTTCGTGACAGATCCCAAGCCAGAAACACTCAGTCAAGCCATTCCCAAACTCTTGACCCACAGGAGTCGAGGGAGATAATATGTTTATTCATTTTCATATGTCACATCATATTCCTTTTTCCTCCACCATTTCAAATTGTAAATCATTCTCAGCTTGAGCAAAGTTGTACAAAAACAGGTGACGTGTCACATTTGGCCCACAGGCCTTTGTTCACTGAGCCACAGTCTATTTCATTGTTTTTTTTTTTTTTAATTTCATTGTTTTGAATCTCTGCATAATTGTTCTATACGAGGCCTTCATCTTATTTTGCACATCTGCTCCCAGTGAGGGGCATTTATCTCCTTCCCTGGCTCAGACAGTAAAGAATCTGCCTGCAGTGCAGGAGACCCAGATTTGATCCCTGGGCTGGGAAAATCCCCTGGAGAATGGAATGGTAACCCATTCCAGTATTCTTGCCTGGAGAATTCCATGGACAGAGAAGCCTGGTGGGCCATAGCCCGTGGGGTTGCAAAGCGCTGGACATGACTGAGCCACTAACACTACACTACTTAGCTTCCACAGACAGCAACTGCAGTGAACATGCTTACCTGCTGGGAAGGTCCCTGGGATATTTGTCCAGGAGTGGAATTGCTGGGTTTCACGGTCTTGGTCTGCATTCTGCAGTGGTATATAAAGTCCCATTTCCCTGTACCATAGTGACACTTGGTTTTATCCAGCTTCCTGATGTTCGCTACTCTGTGACTTGGTTTCTCTTTGTTTGGCTTGCATTTCCCTGATAACTTATGAGTTTGAACATCTCTTTGTCTAGTAGCACACATTTAGATTTCCTCTTTAAATTGCCTAGTCATGTTTTCACCCATTTTTATAAAATATTTCTGGTTTTTTCTTATTGGGAAGACTTCTGCTTCCCAGGCCTCAGTTTCCCCGTGTGCACCACAGTTACCTACAGGGGTCTCCTGAGATGCCATCCTTGTTTCTGCTACAGCCATGTTTCAAATAATTAGAATGTGACTTGGGGTTGAGTTTTTACATATATTATGTTATATAGGAAACTTAGGGGACTTCCCGGGTGGTCCAGTGGTTAAAACTGCGCAGGGGCCCAGGTTCGACCCCTGGTCAGGGAACTAGATCCTTAATGCTGTAACTGAGAACCTACATGCTGCAACTAAGACCTGGTGCAGGAAAAAAGAAAAAGAGTGAGAGAGAAACTAAGGATTTATTTGTGAATTATAGCTGAGACTTCTGGGTTCAGAGAGGTTGATGACCAGCCCAGAGCCACCCAGAGAATCGTAGGGTTAAGTAGATGCCTGAATTGAGTTTCATTAGGAAGAGCTGGGGTTGCAGATCAAAATATGGCAGCAAATAGCACTTCTCTTGGGTCAAGTTAGAAATGATGTTTCTAAATGATAAGAGGAGACAAAGCCTTGGAGAGTATGGGGCCTTCTTTTCCAAGTTGGTGGAAATGAAACTAGTTGTGAACTTTTCTTAGGGGCAGTTTGACAATTACGGGCCAAAAGCCTAAAACACCTGCACACCCTCTGACTCAGCAACTTCCCTAGGAATTTACCCTGAAGCAGTAATTGGTCAAAGACAAGGAAGAACATGTTTGGTCATGGAAAAGCAAAGATCATACTAAGGATCCCACTTCAGGAAATGGAATACTACATATGCATATGCTATCTTAAGAAAGATGTTCTCGGTAATTCCCTGGTGGTCTAGTGGTTAGGACTCTCCTCTCACTGCTAAAGGCCTGGGTTTGATCCCTGGTCAGGAAACTAAGATCCCAAAAGCCATGCATGGTGAGGCAAAAAAAAAAAGAAAAAAGAAAGATGTTCTATAGAAAGATTCCTAATGCTATGGAAAGATGTTAATTCAGTTAAGGTGAGGGGTGAAATCCATTATAACATAGTGAATACAGAATGATTTCATTTTTGTAGGGAAAAAATATGTATGAAGGAAATCACTGGGAAAATGCAGAGATGTATTAAGTGCTTGCTAGGGCCATGCACATGTTTTCAGTGCTTTTTATAGCCTCATTTAATTGTCACACGACTCTTTGAGTAGGTACCGTTATTATTCTCAAATTATAGGTGAAGAAACTGAGGTCAGAGATATGAAATGAGCTGCCAGAGGTCACACAGATGGTGGGTGAAGAAGCCAAGCTTTGAATCCAGGTGCTGGGTTTTTTCTACACTTAGTATTTTAATATTTTTAAAAGCCCTTCTTGTAGTAGTTCAGTTCAGTTCAGTTGTTCAGTCTTGTCCGACTCCTTGCGACCCCATGAATCGCAGCATGCCAGGCCTCCCTAGTAGTGCCTTTGAAAGTATGAAGCAGGGCAGGGGTGGGGGGAAGTTATGGGGGTATGTGTTGTGTGGAGAAAAATCAGGAATGGGATGGAGCTTGGCTCATCTCAAACCCTATTCTTGCCCCAAACCCTCTCTCTTCATTCTCAAAAATATCAAGGAACTCAAAGATTCCACATCTGCTGTGTGACCTTGGACTTATTCCTCACCCTTTTGGAGCCCTTTTCCAGATATGTCACATGGACTGGATTTCTGGAGGAGCCTCCCTGTACTCCCACTGCCCCTCTCCCGGGCACCCTGAGTAAGAAGTAGGAAGGGACAGCCTTGGTTAGTGGTTCTGGGAAGGAAAGGAGAGAAAAGGACTGGGAGGAGCCGAGGGGCGGAGAGGAGGAAGCTGGCATGGGTAACAGGCAGGGTGATGCGGAGGCATAGTAGGGAGGGACAGGTCTAGGGAGGTGTCCCCTCCCTAGGTCTCTTCTCCCCTGGGGCTTTGAGGAGTGACATACTGGTTTCTGAATGCAACTCTGGGAAAGTCTGCTGCAGCAAGCACTGGACAGGGATTTCAAAGACCTGATTCTGCTCACACCTCACCATTGGTTACCTGTGTCCTTGTCAGTTCTTTCTCTGAGCCTTGGCTTTCTCGAAAGCCTGACTGTTTTCAGGGCTAATCCATATTGTAACATGTATACATAGAACTTTGGTCCTTTTTATGGTTGAACAGTATTTCATTGGATATACCACATTTTGTTTATCCATTCATCAGTTGATGGACATTTGTGTTTTTCTTCTACTTTGTTTTTTTGACCATGTAGCATGTGGGATCTTAGTTCCCTGACCAGGGATCAAACCCGCATCCCCTGCAGTGGAAGTGTGGAGTCATCTTAACCACTGGACTGCCAGGGAAGTCCCTTACATTTTCGTTTATTTTCAGTATATACTTAGTAGAATTGTTGAGTTAAACAGCAATTATGTTTAACATTTTGAGGCAACACCTGTTATTATATAGTCCAAGAGCCAAGAATGGTTTTTATATTCTTAAATAGTAGGGAAAAATCGAAAGAAGAATATTTTATAACATGTGAAAATTATACAGAAGTCAAATTTCTGTGTCCACAAAGAAAATTTCATGGAACAGCTGCTTTCATTCATTTATGTATTGTCTGTGGTGCCTTTGCACTGCAAAGGCAGGGTTGAGTGCTATGGCAGACATGCAAAGCCCAAGTGTTTAATTAGTCCTAAGACATAATAAAAACCTGGTCTTTATAGAAAATGTTTGTCTACCCCTGAACTTTGTGTGGTATTATTAATTATTGTTTGGTGGAGGCAGCTTGGTATGTACTGCCTTGATGGGAACAGGACTCAGGTTGCCGAGTGCCTGGCCTGGGACTGTAAAGAGATGAGAGCTCATATCTAGACCCGTTTTCTGGATTGAGAAACTGAGTCCTGCAGGAGAGCTCAGGCTCATGCAAGCTGAGGGGGAAGTGAGGACCTTGATTTTTTCTGCTCCTTGGCAGACTCCTCCCCTCCAGCTAAGAAGACCCAGTTGTGAATAATTCATGGCTGGTGTTTGCAGAGCACTCCATCTTGCCAGAGCACTTTGATCATTATTAATTAGTCAGAACCTGGCTCTGGCTGTCGCCTAATAAAACAAAAACATAAGTGGCCTTGATATCTCCATTCCTAAAACCAGAAGCTTCCATCTCCGTTGTGAGGCTTGGTATCTGCAGATTCCTTTTCTCTGCCCATTACCCCATCACCTCTCAAAGACCTACTGTTTTGGCCTGAAAGTCAGGTTTCCTGAAGGAAGGAGGGCAGTCCCAGGATTGGAGCCCAGTCCTTGGGGCAGGGTGTCTTCTGAGAAGTCACATCCCCTTTCTGCTCCTCAGTCTTTGTTTTGAAGATGAGAGTAGTGATGCCCATCTCTGGGGTTGTTTCTACTTGTAGACGTGTTCTGGAAGGAACCCTCCTTCACTGCTGGTGGGAAGGTAAAATGGAACAGCCACTGAGGGACGCTCCCAGCCCCTCAAATGACTAGATGTGGAGTTACCACATGACCCAGCAACCCCATTCTCATGCATACACCCCAGAGAAAGGAAAATGTGTCCTTACAAAATCTGGACACAAACATTCCTAGCAGCATTATTCAAAACAGCCAAAATATACTGTGCAGCACAGGGAATTATGCCCATTATCTTGAAATAACCTGTAATGGCATAGCACCTGTAAAAATATTGAGTAGCTATGTTATACATCTAAAACTAACACAATATTGTAAATCAAATATAATTCATTTAAAAGAAAAAAAAGACAAAGATTGAGACTGTATTCCAGTTTAAAGGAGGCTAAAGTGATAGGGCTGCTACTTTCATACAGGATCCTGGTTTAGATCCTGGACTGGGGGAAAAAAAATTACACCCATAGATGCACACACAGCTGATTGATAAGTTTAAATATGTACCATAAATTAGATGATAGTATTGCTGCAATGCTAAATGCCCTGAGTTTGCTCTTTGTACTGTGGTTATGAATGGACATGTCCTTGTTTTTAGGAAATGCATACTGAAGCATTTAGGGGTTAAAGACCATGATGTCTCCAATTTAATGTCAGATTGTTC